ATGTGCATAGCCTTTGTGTTTTGTTGAGCTTTCTTTCGTTCTTGATCACTCCACTTCTTTACCTTCTTCGTAGGAGGGGAATATCCTTCTTGACTATCATCCAAGTTTCCATATCATGTGCTTGAATAAATATCATCATGAACCTCTTTCAAAGACGATAATTTGTTTCATTGAAGTAAGGAGGTACATCAATTGGTCTGGATTCTTCCATGGAGAATGAACCGCAAGTGGACGTCATTTTTATCGATTTAACTTTTCCCGAATCGACTTAAGAGGTGGTTCAACCTTCAAATGAGTAAGGCTCTGATACCAGTTGTTGAGTTAATCGATTGATGAAATAGCCAAGAGGGGTGAATTGGCAATTAAAATTTTGGTGGAAACATTTGCAGAAAATAAAAAATATTTGCACAGCGATTTAGAGTGGTTCAACTTTCTCAACCAAATTCTACGTCCACTATCTTAGCTATCCACACTAAGGATTTTCCAACAAATTCACTAATTTGTTCTTTCTTTTGAGGACAAAGAGTAACCTTACAACTCCCTCAAGAATTATACCGCAAATTCTTGAGAACACTCTCTCCCAAAGAGAAGTTTACAAATTTTGCAAAATTAAAGAAAAAACCTCACAAGGCAATATGTTTGCACAATTCTATAACAAAGAAAGAACACTAAAAAATAATACAATTGAGTACAATGGGTGTTCTTGAAAGTAAAATGAATATTGAATGAAAATGGGCTTAAAATGCTCAAACTTGAGGTTTGATGCTTTCTCTTTGATGCTCTCACAATTCTTGTTGATCAATGGCTTCAAAACTTGTTTATATACACCTTGGATCACTTCTGAGCGTTGGGGATCATTGGTGAAGTCAATAAAGCCGTTATGGCATGAAAACCATTTAATAAAATAGTTGGGAGCATGTGTGCATCGGTACACTATGTGTAAAATTCAAATATTTCGACCATTAGTTGACATAGTGCATCGGTACACTTGGTGTGCATCGGTACACTAATTACATTCGATGTTTCAAAAGAGCCAGGAATGCATCGGTACATAAAATACATTTGATATTTTAATAAAACATGGGGTATATCGATGCATGGTGTGTGCATCGGTACACAAAATGTATTCGATGTTCAATAAAATTACGTGTGTATCGATGCATTCAATAGTTCATCGGTACATCCCTTTGAAAAAATTAATTTTTGGCTCGATTAAGGTTCAAAATACTTTGTAAAAATTGTTTCAAAAATATTCTAAGTTTAAAACAAAATTTTACACTTTAGTAAGGATTGAAATTGACCATTGAAAAACTTAGAGTAATATTTGTGATATTCAAATAATTGAATCGAATATACTTAAAACAAATGATTGTAAAATCTTAAAATTCAATAATACTTAATTTGTTATATTGAAATATCAAAATGTTTTCAACATAAGGGTGTTACATGGAAGTAGCTTTTGCACCACAAGGACTTTAATTCCTTGTTCTGACATGTGTCCAAGTTTCTGATGTAAAAGCATTGCATAATTTGAACTACATGAGGCAACAGAGGCTTATGCTTCTAGCAAAGTCTCTCCCTTCAGCATATACAAGTTTGCTGCTATCTTTTCTCATTTCATTACCACAAGCACTCCACGGAACACCTTCATGATTCCTTTTCGTGTTTCAATCTTGATTGCATTATTATCCAACAATCCATAGGATAATAAATTTTTCTTCAGTTCTTTCACGTGCCGCACATCTCGAACAACTTTAATTGTTCTATCATACATCTTCAATTTGATGGTTCCCATACCAACGATCTCTAAGGCATGATCATTGCAACTATACACAGATCCTCCTGAGACAGGTTCATAATGATGGAACCATTCTCTTCTTGAGGTCATGTGATATGTTGCTTCCGAATTAATGAGATATATATATGCAAATCTCTTTCTGCCTTCCATGGTGGTTGACGCTTCACAACATAGAGCATCTCCATCATATGAAGTGTTTGTGGTATTGCCTTGTGGATTGGAGTTTTTATCTAGACTCCAACAATCCTTCTTCAAGTGATCTTTCTTTCTACAGTTGTAGCACTTTAAATTCTTCTTGCTTCTCGACTTTGATATACCATGTTTATGACTGCTGCTTTGGCCACGTTCTGTTGATATCTCTTTCATCGTTGTCAAGGCTTCTTCTTGTTGCAGATTTACTTGTCTATCTTCCTTGTTCTTGCTCCAATTTTCTTCTTGTAGAATAGCAGCTGCAACGTCATCGGAGACTAGACTGGTGACATTACTATTTTTCAAGTTGATGATAAGTTGATCATACGAATCAAGTAGACTTTGAAGTAGAAGTTCAACATGTTCTTGTTCTCCTATTGTACATCTTAAGGATGTAAGCTGAGAAAAATAAAGTGTTCAGTGTGTTTAAGTGCTCCGTCACTGAAGTAGATTCTGGCATCCGGAGAGTGTCCAATTTCCTCTTAAGAAAAATTTTACTGTGCAACGGTGTGGCCTTGTACAATTTGGTGAGATGGTCCCATATCTCCTTAGATGTCTTATTCTCCTCGATTCTTGACAATACTTCATCTGCTAATGCTAGATGAAAGTTTGCCATAACATTCACGTTCATTTAGATCTATTTGTTGTCATCTGTAAAATATATAGGTCTTTCACTGATAGTTGTTAGACAACCATCTTTCCTCAATATGGCCTTCATCTTCAATTTCCACAATGAGAAATTTCTCCCAATGCATTTTTCAATATCAAATTTCGTTGCCATAGCTTGTATTACAGATAGCTCCCACTATTTCACTATCGTGAATAGTTCTTTGGAACCTTCAAAGAATAGGTAATACCTTCTTACTTTCTTATATTGGAGGGTCCACCTTTTGGTGGCAACCACAAAGACAATAGGTAGATATTACACACTCAAATCTGGCTCTTGATTCCAATTGTTGCGGAATACGGCTATCAGATAGAGCAAAATCGCAACTGATAATTTAAGAAAATAAAAATAAAGATAAAGAAGATACAAATTTTACGTGGAAAACCCCTAAATAATATAGGGTAAAAACCACGGGCAAAGGTAGAAGAATTTCATTATGAGAAAATAGGAATTACAACTTCTCTCGATCTAACAAAGAGAAAACAATGACAATTCTGTCTTGATAAAAAGGAGAAAACAACTTTCAAGAAACTCTCTAAATTCTATAGTATTAGGAGAAAACTAGAATGATTTGGGATGATTTTGAAACTAAATGGTTTAAGGTATTTATAGTTGAAGCTAAATGACTAATTTATAAATACCCTAAAATACAAAGACTAAATTTACAATTTTCTCATTACCAAAATTCAACAAAAAATTGCTGTAAATTTTCGATGTTTCATTTTTTTTTGACAATCACTTTCGGTGCATTTCCACGTACATTTTCGGTGCATTTAATTTTCAACATTAATTAATATTAATAGGATTAGCCATCAATCATGTTTTCGGTTGGAATAAACATGAGCAATTTCTCTTTTGGACTTGCTCAAAAGTAAATTAAGATTCCATTCGATCATATTAAAATATTATATTTCTCATATTAAAAATATAATAATTGTAAGTAAATCTATAATAATTTTAAGTCTAAAGGTTTAATTATATAATAGTTAAAGATTAATTTACGATTTTGATCTACGTATTAATTTCAAAATAGATATTTGAGGTTGTCTTTATACATCTTTTAAATCTATAATAGATAATAAATTTAACATCTGAATCTGTAATTTATATCCACATAAATAATATAATTTTTTTACATTAAGTAATGCAGTTTCATATAATAGCCCATCTATGAATCTTTGTTAAATTTATCAAATGATTAATATATTTATTTCTTTTACAGAGAGTATGTCAAATTTGAATCTATTGATTAGTTTTAATGGTCTTGAAGGGAGTATATATTATTAATGACTAAATAATATCATAAACAATTATATTCTAATTATTTCATACTATTAAAAAAATGTCAAATTTCTTTGATCCATCCTTCTTCCCTAGTTAGCTCTAGGGATGGGCATGAGTCGGGTTGGGTCGGGATTTTGGTCCACCCGACCCGATCCGAGAACAATGAGTCATTCACCCGAGACCCGACTTGATCCGACCAAAATAAGTTTGCACCTGACCCGATATATAACTTAAAAACCCGATCCGAAATAATAATAAAAATTATTTTTATTCAATAAAAACAGTGACTTAATTGAAAAAATAATATATAGATGAGTATTATTGTAACTATTCCTAAATATATAAGGTAAAATTATTTATTTATTTTCGGGTCAAATCGGATATTTTTCACCCTAAACCTGAACCCGACCCGAACATCACATTAAAAAAAACCCGACCAACCCGAACCTAATTTTTTATCTCCAGACATCCCAACTAAGGTATTTAGTGGATGTTTAAAATCAACAGGTTTTGTAAGTAAATGAACCACCAACCGACTATAATTCATATTAGAAATAAAGGAAAAATGACATAAGTAAATTCTTTTTTCTATATAACAGTTTGGATTATCTAAATTCATCTATATATCATAATTTAAAAAAATGTACTGTTAATTAATTTAAAATACTTTTAGAAAGTAATTTTGCTAATCACTGTAGCTTAAAGATTTTTTTCATCGTCTATCAATTATTACTTTAATTAATCATATTATTATTGTATCGTCTAAGTGTTTATTTTAAATAAAAATATAATTAATTAAAGTAATAATTCATAGACGATTAAATAAAAATCTTTTAAGCCACAGTTTTTAAACCCTTGAACCCATATTTTAGTTTATTTTAGCTTACAAATTAATATTTTATTTAGCTAAAACATTAATTTAAGGAAGAAATTATATTATCTATGAAATCATTTTTTGTAATTTGTATTTGATTAAATACCACCGGATAAGTGACGGAACGACGTCGTCAAAAAGGAAAAGAAATGAAAAGATCTATGAATACCAGTTGACCTTAAGAAACGAAGTAACAAACTGAAACTGCCATGGCGATTGTGAACTCCCTTAACTATCAAAAACCCTTCCTTCAACCCAAAAACCCTAATTCCAATCCCCTCAAGTTTAATCCGAAATCCCCAAATCAAGCTTTCCCCGGCCGTCGTAGAGTTCTCGTTTTTGGCAGCGTCCAAGACTCCGACCAAAACACTCCCGAAGGTCCCTTTTTCCCTCTCCATATCTCCCAATAACCTAGTCGATTTCTCAATTAACTAATAGGCTTTCACTCGTTCAATTTAGGTGATGAAGTTGAGAATTTAGGAGTTAAAGCCGCTTTATCAATGCTCAGATTCTACAAAAGTAAGTCTTTTTTTGCTTCCTCTTTTAACAATTATGAAGTGCTCTTGCTGAAATTTAGATTAATGATTGAATTAAAACAGGGGAGATCTCGCCGGTAATACCAAAAAGTTGCCGGTTTGTTCCCACGTGTAGTGAGTACTCCATGGAAGCTTACAAGAAATATGGGGTTGTAAAGGGCACGGTTTTGACAGCTTGGCGTCTTTGCCGTTGCAATCCTCTTGGTAATTCAATTCTCTCCTTTTTCTGTTTAACAGATTCATTTGTGTTGAAAATTGGGTTCTAATTGCATTTTCCTTTGTAATTAAAGGTGGGTCAGGGTTTGATCCTCCAAGGTGGTTTGATGAGAAAAATGCTACAGAAGAATGAAAGGTTTTGTTTTGCTTTTCATTAAGGTGGTAATGGAATTGTATGTCTCTGATTATCTGAAACCTGCAATGAAAACTGGTTTTATGCTTCTTTTTGTTTTCTTCATCCTCTTTGCCACGAGCTAGTTAATGTTATCTCTCTTAAGACTGTAATTAAGAATCAGATTGTAGGATGATATTCATATATTATACAGGGGAAAGGTGAACACCATAATTATTTGCTGCCAAAGAATCAATAACATGCAAAGTATTCACCATAAGTATTAAGCGTGTTTTTTTCACCGTTCTGACAGCAAATTTGTTTTGAAAATACATTTTATTCATTTGGGGAAGGCACAGAATCATCAATGAAATGAACATTTTCAGCATGACCAGTACTCATTGGAGGGTGATGACTAATCTGCAAAGGAAATAAGGATCTGAAAATCGCAGACAGAGAGAAATCATACAAAAATAACAAAACAATTGCAGAGAGCATCAAAATGAGAAGATTAAAAGAAGTTAGAGAGAAAATTAAAAAGATAAGTTAGAACAGATCTGACTGGAGTAAACCATTCGCTTGTAGGTGTCCTCACATTTGTCAGCCATATTCAGCAGGTAGGAGTGCAGCAAGTTTGTATAGGGAAACACAAACCTCGTTCATTTTCTGCAACATCGACATTGGCTCAACAATAAGTACTGGAAGTGTCAACATTGATGTGACATCAGATCCTATATACTTCTGCATCATTCTCCAATAACTGTCCATGTCCTGTTAAACAAGAGACATCGAGCTGCTGGCTTTGAATAGCGATGATATTTAAGCATCGAAAATCTTTGGATTTGGTGAGATTTGTATTCTTGGGTTTGGCTTTGAATATGGTAATCCTGTTCCGTATGTTGGGGATGTGAAATCAGATAATCGTTCAGGTTTCAAGTTGAATTGTGTCAGTTCAAATCATATTAGATACAGGTTATGTCAGGTTAATTCAATGGTTCAACTTAGATAAATTCGGGTCCTGGTCGATTCATGTTCATGTTATTTTCAGGTTGATTTTAAATTAGATTCAGTTCTGGTTCAGGTCGGGTTAATTTTAGGTCGAATCAATATCAGTTCAGGTCAAAACGGTTTGGGTTTGAATCTGTTAAATATCAGGTTCAGATGGACTTCGGATCTATTCTCATTCAAATTAGGTCAAATCATTGACGGATAAATTTCAGGTCGGATAATATTGGTTTCGGGTGAACTTCAAGTCGAGTCATTTTCAGGTGGATTAGATTATGCCTTTTCATGAATGTCTAATTATAAATTATAATTATACAAGAGTTGGAGTAAATTACAAAATCTAGAAATAACTGTGAACCAATTTTAGATAAAAATATAATTTTAAAGACTAAATTGAACAAACATAAAATTAAAAACTGAAATATTAATAAATTAAACAACACACAGTTAGCAAATTGAAATAATTATAAAATGTAAAACTCAAATTTATATAAAAATGAACTAAATTTCATTCATTTACAAAGCTGGTGAACAATAGTTTATAAGGTTTTGAGATTATGATATAATTTATAGAGTTTGAAATAATTGTAAAATGTAATAAAGTGTAAAATCAAATTAATTTATTAATTTTTGAAAAATTAGTGACCAAAATAAAACTTTTTGCTCTTTTTACCTTTTATTACAATTAGATCCCGTTATCTTCAAGCAGGCCATAGAGCCCATTGCATATGTTATGGGCTACACTTTTTACACACAAAATAAAGCAGGCAACTAGGCCCTTATAAAATCATCAAAATTCAATAAAAACTTTAACAATTGAATAGTAACTTTTTTAATTAAGTCACTAAAATTTTAATTTGGTTTGAAAAAAAAACCACCGACCTTAACCGTTAAAGAATTACTAATAATTAAGTAAATTTTGTATAATAATACATTGTGTTAAAACTTAATTCAATATTATATATAATTAATTATAAAAACAAAAGGTGGACAAAATATTGAATTCAGTTTAAAAATATAAAACCATGTAACCTAAATACAAATTTTGTCAATTATGAAAAAAATCTTAACTTGGTTCAACAATTTAGTGTTGATTTATCCTCAAGTCTCATGTTCAATTCCCTACACACCCAGTCCATTTTTACTAAATATATATTGCACCAACCACAGTTTAATTAAATATAATTTATATCAATCACGAAACAAATATTTAACTTGACTCACTAAAATATAGGGTAAAGTATAGTAATGGTCACTGAACTTTTCTAAAGCTTTCATTTAGGTCCCCCAACTTTTAAAACTTACAATACAGTCCTCCAACATTTAGTCTATTTGCAATATGGTCCCCCAACATTTAGTCTATTTGTAATATGGTCCCCAACTGTTTGACACCGTTACACTGCCGTTAGTACATTTGCAATATGGTCACTGAACTTTTCAGGCACTTGCATTTAGGTCCCCAACTTTTAAAACTTGCAACAAATTCCTAAATTTTATTCTAAACCCAAATTCCTTTTTGATCTCGAATTTCCTTTTTTGCTTCTCTTTTCTCATTTCCAGCATAACTTTTCAGTCGGAGATGCATGTGAAATTCTAATCTAATTTTTAATTATGTGGAGGTGTTGACTTGAATAAGAGTCCATTGAGAGAAGATTCGACCAAGGGACTATCGGGACCATCAACGATTCAAGGTGTAATGTTAGATACAGGTCATCTCAGGTGAAGCATAGATGATCGATGAAATGCTTGTGAGAAAAAAAATTGGGTTAGAAATACAGAGTTGACAAATACTACTAAGATGAACTAAGTATCATTGTTGAAAGTCACCAACAAAGCTGAAATTATTTTGTATAAATGACATATAATAATTTCTTCGTTTAATCCTTGTGCTTAAAGATTTTCCAACTGATAATCAAATATAATGAAATCTCAAACAGCGCATTCACCTCTCGTTTGATTTTTGTTCTTCAATTTTCCGCCATGTAAAATTGTAAACCCAACCAGTGCTCTGTCTTTCAGCTTTTTTATTTACAAAGAAAAAATGGAGGAAGAATTGTTGGAACGCAACACCGATTGTGTTTATTTCTTAGTCTCTCCCATTACTTGCAAGAAGGTATTTATTTTTTCTCTTGGGCTATCCGAATGTAAGCTTTTCCTCTTTCGCACTTTCCCATTTTCAGCTCGCATTGTGTGTTTTTTGTTCAAATTTTTATGTTTCTGGAACTGCATGTCAATGATCTGGATATTCAGTGTTGGTTTTGAACCAAAAACATCTAATTTTCTTTCTTTCTTTTTAGTACTCCTTATGAAAGATATTCAGTCCATCAGAATAGAAGTGAAATAGGGTCCTAGGCTAAATTTTTTTGATCTTCTTGTTTGGTTTTTCTTTAAATCAGGGAATTGGTTGTGGGTATCGACATAGTGAAATCGCCAGGCTCAATCCGAGAGAATGCTGGTACTAGTTTACTGGGAATTGTATTGATCTGCCCTGTGGTTTTCGGTGTCCTGTGAGCTCGTATTCTTTTTAATAAGTTCATGTTGATTATGAGACTAATATATCGTGAACAAATTAATTTTGTTTTACATGTTTTGGAAATTTTACAGTTGAATTGGATTGAATTATAGCTTTAGAAGACAATTATTCATGCATGCAACTCGAAATGCATCATGACCTGTATACAAAATAATTCCAACTTTGTTGGTGACTTTCAAGAATGATACTTAGTTCATCTTAGTAGTATTTGTCAAATCTGTATTTCTAACCCCATTTTTTCTCACAAGTATTTCATCGAACATCTATGGTTCACCTGAGATGACCTGTATCTAAAATTACACCTTGAATCGTTGATGGTCCCGATAGTTCCTTGGTCGGGTCTTCTCTCAATGAACCCTTACTCAAGTCAACACCTCCACATAATTCAAAGTTAGATTAGAATTTCCCATGCATCGTCGACTGAAAAGTTACGCTAGAAATGAGAAGAAAGAAACGAAAAAGGAAATTCAAGATCGAAAAGAAATTTGGGGTTTATAATGAAATTTAGGATTGTGTTACAAGTTTTAAAAGTTGGGGGACCTAAATGCAAGCGCCTAAAAAGTTCAGTGACCATATTGCAAGCATACTAAAGGTAGTGTAATGACGTTGAACGGCCGGGGACCATATTGCAAACCGACTAAATGTTGGGGGACCATATTACAAACGAACTAAATGTTGGGGGACTGTATTGCAAGTTTTAAAAGTTGGGGGACCTAAATGAAAGTTTTAGAAAAGTTTAGTACCATTTTTATACTTTACCCTAAAATATAATTTATATCAAAATCAACGTGGACGGTACCTTTGATCTCTTTTCAAAATTGACCACGATCAGGGTAGTTGCTCGTGATTCTTTCGATCAGGTTTTGGGAGTCTAGCGTCGGCGACACCGGGTTGTGGTGAGGCGAGCATGCTGAGATCCATACATTTGTAGCGGGCTTATGTCTGGCTCAAGAGAAATCTTGGCAGCAGGTGATTTTTTAGATTGATTCTGCACTGTTGATCAATGAAGACACACGGTCGGTAGCTGATTTATCTACTCTTTCATATTCATGATGCGGTCCAGACCGTAGCTAATAATACGGGCTAAGTTGTTCAGTTTATTCCTCATTATTGTAATAATGTTTCCCATGAACTGGACTCTTGGGCCCTTCGCTCAGGGAATTTCTTGTACTTTGAATCGATTTATTTAGAGATTGTTTTCATAGTTGTATTGAATGATATTGATTAAAAGTAATATAGGTTTAGGGTACTCTTTTTCCTTATTAGGCTTAGAAGAGTTTTTAATGAGATCCGTTTCTTTTAATAATAATAATATATATAGATGCCTAGTCATAGTGTTCAGGGACAGAACCATATTATGAGTGGAAAGGGAAATGGCCTCCAAACTTTGATGGTATAATTACTTTTAAGTAATTGGTAGTTTTGAAACTATTGAAATTGAGATCTTGCCCCTCCCATAATTTTTTGGTATAATTATTTTTTTAGAACACTGTCAGTTTTAAAATTAATGAAAATAAACCTTGACCCTA